TAATAAACAGAACATCCATGAGAGCAAATCCTGTTTGAGTGCTATGGCCATTCACTTTCTTTTTCCTCCTTGCTCTGTTGTTCCTAAAGGATCACACACTTTTTGAAGCATACTCTTGGGGATGAAGACTGCTTCTTTCCCAGCACTGAATCTTAGAAGCTCTGATACATCTGAGCAACATATCGCTGAGGGTGCCTTTTTTTTTTTTCCTTTTTGGTCAGTGTCAATGGTAGGTCTCAAACAAATACATGCATTTTGGCTGCATTTTGTCATACAAAATTCTAATCAATTTGGAAAGCTATTTCCAGCAGTTATTACCAGTCACATAGATGCATGTTTCCGGGGGGGGGGAACGGGACGGGACGGGACTGTGGCGTGGCTGTATGCTTGCCTGTAAATCCACTCTTTTGATAGACAATTTGTTATTAAGAAGAAGCATAAACAAAACCGGTTCTATCAGACTCTGCTTCCTACAGTTACCATACAAATAGCAAAGGGTTAAATTGCTATTTTGTCATAAGCCGTATTTAATAATATAAAATGCCTATTTTTATGCTGATGCTTTTATACAGATTTATTAAGAGTAACTACAACTAACTGTTAGCATGACTTGCAATGTTTTGATAAACTAGCCATGATCCTGGGTTTGAAATCAAGAAGGCTTGTCTTCCGCCTAGCTCAGCGGAAGAGAAGACTCATTGTCTCAGAAGTTTGACTGTAAATATGTATATTTAACTTTGTACAGGCAATGTACTTACCTTGTATAGAAAAAATAATTTAAACACATTGAGAGAAGGGAGGGGGAAAAAAAAGGCAGCTGTGAAAGGTCGGGATTTTTTTTCCACTTTTATTTAAATGATGGAGTTCTGTGTATGTTCACATAAAGAGTTTTAGCACAAAATATCCATTATGAAAGGTTTTCAGATATGACACAAAGCACCACTGTTTCTTTTCAGCAGGAGATACCTTTAATCCTGCATCTTATTTATAGGTTTGTTTTTCTGCTTTGGGTTTGCTCTCCAGTTATTTGCAGCAATATTTAGGTCTGTTGCTAAGATTGGATAACATCAAATTAATATCTCCAGCAAAGTAACATGATGATACTGACTGTATATAACATAATCATTTAAAGGTTTATTTTTTGTTCTTGCTCTTGCCATTTTAAGTTACATACACATGCACACATACACACACATGCGCGTACAAACTGCAACTTATTTTTGTGTTGATTTTTTTGTTTCTTATTGCAGTGGATTACTATTTGACAATTAATAAATGGAATTATTGAATTACTATTGTGTTCCTTGTACGAATTATTAAATAAAGTCTATTCCCACTGTTCCTGTAGCAGTGCGCTTCTGTATGAGTGCCCCTCCTTGGCTGTGTCCATATGAACAGCAGTTGTCTGCTATGGGCTTTCTGAGTGTCCTGCACCTGAGGATCCTGCTTATGACTTGTTGACCAGTTCTCCCTCCTGAGCTGTAGGCAGGCCATGACTTTTTCCTCAAAGAAACCAAGGTGTAAAAGCAGATAAAAAGCTGTTTTGCCCCAGATCTCACTGTAACATGGAGTCAGGATGCAGCTGCTGTGGTATGCATGCAGAGCTGGGAGCTCAGGAGCATACCCAAGTCCACCAGTTTACAGAGGCTCTTTGTCTCTTTGTGACTCTCTTTTAAGATGAGAAGACCACACAGGTTAAGTAGGGCAAGAAACCCCAAATGCCAACCTCTGGGGAAGCGATGTTGGTTGACATTGGGTTTACATAGGCATTTTTAACCCTAATCGGGGTTGAAAGCAGTAAGATGCTGACCTCTGCAGTAGCTGCGTTCTGACCAGGCAGGTAGGGCTGCAGCACTAACTCAAGGGGTTTGTGCAAGGTTTGTGGTGAACATGCCATGTCTTCTAGCTGTGCAGCAGGAGAGCTAGCTGGGGCTTTTTTGGTGTGCCTTGTAGAGGAACAGTCCCTGCAGGAGCAGAGCAAGGGAAGGCTGGAGCTAAGCTGTCCTGGGGGAGCCCACTGGGGCTCAATAACTCACAGGTATCACCAAATTGCACCCTGCACCTCCACAAATCTGCCTAATGCAATCTGCCTATGTGGGCTGTGCCAACCCCAAAGGCTGGTCTTTCACTTCTTGAGGCCTCCACCTCAGCCTGAGCCAAAATTGGGCAAGATTCAAACTCTGTGATGGCTGATGGGATGACCAGGCAGACACATACAACACGTCGTGGCTGCAGTCACAGTGATTTCGGGAAACTGTGGGCAAGCCAACCCTAAACCTGAACTGACAGAGCAGCAAAAGCCTCAAGCTATTTTCCTTCCCCAGAAAGCAAACAGACATGAGTCCATTTTTCTGTTTTGCAGGTTACCTTATACGCTGCAAAAGGGCAGCCTGATCACTGCTTTGCTGCACTGTCTATCCTAATATACTGGGTCACAGGGAAGAAGAGGACCCAGTGGTGTGTCACAGCCCTCTGGTAATCCCTCACACCTGGTAGGGAAGGAGCTCTTGGTGTCACTTTCTTCACTGCCAGGAGATGTGTAATGATGTGGTAAAAGAACGGCTGCTCTCTAATGGAAATGAGATTAACAGTCCAGATGCAGGTACCCTGAAAGGAAATAACTCGTGAAATGACAAGTGAATGCAGGAAAAAAGGAGGAAGCCAAGAAAGGGGATTGCAGAGGCAGGGGTGTGCCTTGTGATTGGGTCATTTGTGGCCGTTCCTCATAAGGCCAGCACTTAGTGACCCACCTCAGCCACATCTGCTGACTGCTCCATGCTCCCCCGCTGTGCCTGAGTCCCAGCTTCAGCAGCCGCTTTGTGCTGTGGCTTGCTACTGTTATGCTCACTGATGAGCTGTGTTCATTTACCAGATATGCAGCAGTGCTTACACTCGAGTTGTAAGTGCCAGCACCATTGCTGTAAACAACCTCTCAGATTGGTGGGGGCTTAACATGCAACTGGAACACGGGATTTGGAGAAGGCTGAGGTTCTGAGTGACTTCTTTGCCTCGGTCTTCACTGGCAAAGGCTCTGACCAAACCACCCAAGGCTTGGAAGGCAGATGCAGCAACTGTGAGAATGAAGGCCTTGAGCCCACTGTAGGAGAGGATCTGGTTCGAGACCATCTTAAAAATCTGAACTTGCACAAGTCCATGGGTCCTGATGAAATCCATCCGCAGGTCCTGAAGGAGCTGGCGAATGAAGTTGCTAAGCCGCTTGCCATCGTATTTGAGAAATCATGGCAGTCAGGTGAAGTTCCCGACGACTGGAAAAAGGGAAATATAACCCCCATTTTCAAGAAGGGGAAAATGGATGACCCGGGGAATTACAGACCAGTCAGTCTCACCTCTGTGCCTGGCAAAATCTTGGAGCAGGTTCTCTTGGAAGGCATGCTAAGGCACATGAAAATCAACAAGGTGCTTGGTGACAGCCAGCATGGCTTCACTAAGGGGAAATCCTGCCTGACCAATTTGGTGGCCTTCTATGATGGGGCTACGGAACTGATGGACAGGGGTAGAGCAGTTGATGTCATCTACCTGGACTTGTGTAAAGAGTTTGACACTGTCCCACACAACATCCTTGTCTCTAAATTGGAGAGACATCAATTTGATGGATGGACCACTCGGTGGATAAAGAACTGGCTGGATGGCCACACACAAAGAGTTGTGGTCAATGGCTCAGTGTCCTGCTGGAGACCATTAACGAGTGGTGTCCCTCAGGGATCGGTGTTGGGACCGGTCTTGTTCAACATCTTTGTTGCTGACATGGACAGTGGGATTGAGTGCGCCCTCAGCAAGTTTGCTGATGACACCAAGCTCTGTGGTTCGGTTGATACGCTGGAGGGAAGGAATGCCATCCAGAGGGACCCTGACACGCTTGTGAGGTGGGCTGATGCCAACCTCATGAAGTTTAACCATGCCAAGTGCAAGGTCCTACACCTGGGTCGGAGCAATCCTAGGCCCAGCTGCTGGTTGGGCAGAGAAGAGATTCAGAGCAGCCCTGCGGAGAAGGACTTGGGGGTGTTGGTTGATGAGAAAATGAACATGAGCCAGCAGTGTGAGCTCGCAGCCCAGAAAGCCAACTGTGTCCTGGGCTGCATCAAAAGGAGCGTGACCAGCAGGTCGAAGGAGGTGATCCTGCCCCTCTACTCTGCTCTTGTGAGACCTCACCTGGAGTATTGTGTGCAGTTCTGGTGTCCTCAACACAAAAAGGACATGGAAGTGTTGGAACAAGTCCAGAGCAGGGCCACGAGGATGATCAGGGGACTGGAGCACCTCCCGTATGAAGACAGGCTGAGGAAGTTGGGGCTGTTCAGCCTGGAGAAGAGAAGGCTGCGTGGAGAACTCATAGCAGCCCTCCAGTATCTGAAGGGGGTCTATAAGGGTGCTGGGGAGGGACTCTTCATTAGAGACTGTAGTGACAGGACAAGTGGTAACGGGTTAAAACTTAAACAGGGGAAGTTCAGATTGGGTATTAGAAGGAAATTCTTTCCTGTTAGGGTGGTGAGGCACTGGAATAGGTTGCCCAGGGAGGTTGTGAATGCTCCATCCCTGTCAGTGTTCAAGACCAGGTTGGACGAGGCCTTGGGTGATATGATTTAGCGTAAGGTGTCCCTGCCCATGGCAGGGGGGTTGGAACTAGATGATCTTAAGGTCCTTTCCAACCCTAACGATTCTATGATTCTATGGAACAAATATTTTTCCCAAATCACAGCTAAGGAGATTGGCTGGAAAACTCATATAATGGAATTCCTTTGTTGGTGGTACCATTCTAAGGGGGTAGAGATAAGCACTGATGGACTTGAGCCCTTCCCAGGCTCCGCTCCTACCCGTCAGCTCCCATATGGGAAACTGCACACAATGCTGCTGATTTCCATCGCCCTCATTGGGTTTCAGAGTTAACACCGCGCCAAGCTACCGCAGGCCGGTCCGCGTTTGCGTGAGAAGCGCCGCGCCGGGGCAGTCTTGCATGCGGTTGCGCACCGGCGGCCTGCTCGGCTCTCAGCTGGGAGGGGATGGAGTGGAATGGGGCGAGACGGGGCGTGAGACGCTCCGAGCTCCCGACGACCGAAATTCTCGCCCTCCCACCGCGGCTCGGCCCCGCAAACCTCTCTCGGGAGGGCTTCGCCTTGGAGCGCGGCGGGCCAGCGGTAACCGGGGCGCAGTGCCCCGCGGCAGCCCAGCCAGCCTGGCGGCGGCGGAGCCCGGGAGTCCCGGGGAGGAGCTGGGGCGGGCCGGGGGCGGGCCGTGCCGGGCAGTGCCGGTGCAGGCGGCGGGGCTGCTGGGCGTCCTGCGAGGTGCAGTCGCGCACATGGGGACACACCGCGTCGTGCTGTCGGGCCCCGGGCCCTGGGGCTTCCGCCTGGTGGGCGGCCGGGACTTCGAGCAGCCCCTCGCCATCTCCCGGGTAGGGCGCGGCGGCGGCCCGGGGCGGGCGGTACTGGGGGCCGGGGAAGTCGCTGGGACCGGGTCGGCGCGGCGGCGGCTCCGGGAAAGGCTGGGGCTGGCTGGTGGCACAGGGGCAGGGTTGGGGGCACGGGGCACGGGGGGGGTCTTCTCTTTTTCTTCCCCCCATTTATTTATCTGGTGTGTATGGAGAAATCCATAGTGTCCCACGCAGCCCTTTGACCTGGCTTTGACCAGAGCCTTTGCTTCTTATCTTTCGTCCATAGCAAACCCCTTACCGCAGGCAGAGAGAATGCCCTCTGCTCCCGCCAGCCTGTAATTTGGGTTTTGCAGCCCATCCTGTGGGAAGCAGTCATACTGAGGTGGTGTTAGTGCTTGCCTGCTTTGGCTTGCCATGTATAGGTAAAAGAAAAGCCTTTGTTTATAGAAGCCGTATTAACCTACCTTAAGTGCTGCAGCCTGTTTCTGTTCTAAGTACTTCTTACCCACTTAAAGGAAAATTAGTTATGAAATGACAGTAAAGTTCCACATGCAAACAGTTTCAGTGGTGTAACTTACTGCGCCGTCCTCGGCTCCAGTGTTCGCCCGTGTAACGTCAGGGATTGGTTCAGAACACCTGGCTTTGCTGTCCACGTACCCCCTGCACCCAGACATCCCCGCGCAGGTGCTGCCGCCTGCATGGCTGCTACCGGCTGGGAGCTGGGCCCTGCCCTGAGCTGCTCACTGCACACTTGCAACAGCCAAAGGCACACACGTCCATCTCTTCCTGCGTGCCGGCAGTGCACCCTAAACTCCCTGTCCCTCTGTGTCTTTCTATGGGGTGGGCTGCTCCGTGTCTTGCTGGGGCTGGCTGCAGGCCCGGCTCCCCCCGGGGGGAAGGACTTGCTCTGATTTCATGATTTCCAGCAATTCCTCTGCAAACCACAGGCATCCGATGAGCTGCTGGCAGCCCTGAGCTCTGGCTCTGCCACCACCTTTACGTGGCTTTGGGGTCTTCAGGCGAGGAAGGGCCATGGGAAGTAGGACGTACAAGAACTTGAACCTCTGTGAACTGCACTTCAGGAAGCTCAGGATGGTGAAACTCGTGAATTGCTCTAAATATCTCCTGCCCCTTGGTCTCATGCAGTGGGGTGCTGCTGCCTGAATGACCCCAGGTGCCAGGGGGAGGGCTGCTGGCTTCAGGAAGGGCAGAGCTGGGAGTGCTGTCAAACTCACAGAGGGGGGAAGTTATTAATTTTCTGTGTAACCTCTTTCAATCACAGTTATAATGCCTCATTCTTCTAAAGTATTTTTTTTTTACATGAAAGCAGCTTTAGTGGAGGGGAAGTGATATTTACTTCATTGTTATGGTAATTGTTGCCATTTCCCTCCAGCAAAAGGCTCTGAGGCAGAAGTATGGCTGAAGTCCTACCTCACTGCTCTTACCTCTTCTGTTCAGTTACCTTTGTCAGCACTTATGGGCGCATACCAAGAGACACAGATCAGCAAAGCAGCAAAAATAACCACCTCATGAGAAATTGTGCCCCTGGAGACTAAAATGGATGATGTAAATGCTGACAATTGCCAGCTCTTATCATGGCTTTCTCTGGTGGCCCCTCTGACATGTTTAATTTCCGCTCCAAGACTTCAAGCCATTAATCTTTCCTGTGCCTTCCTCCTAAGGTTCCTGGGTTTGTGCCCTTGGCTCAGGAACAAAGGTCTCGGAGAGTCCCCCTTCACCATGTAAAAAACCCCAAAACTGTACCAAGATCTGGTAAAGTTTTGGTCTGTTTTAGAGTCTGATCCTCCTTGTATGATGATTTTATGGGGCTATAACTGAATTTTTCTTCTTCCTTATTGCATTTTATACCTGTGCTCTGACTAAAGAGCTTTTCGGGCATGGAGCCCTCCTCTCCTCATAGGTGTGCGCTTGCAGCCCAGAAAGCCAACCGTATCCTGGGCTGCATCAAAAGGAGCGTGACCAGCAGGTCCAAGGAGGTGATCCTGCCCCTCTACTCTGCTCTTGTGAGACCTCACGTGGAGTATTGTGTGCAGTTCTGGTGTCCTCAACATAAAAAGGACATGGAACTGTTGGAACAAGTCCAGAGAAGGGCCACGAGGATGATCAGGGGACTGGAGCACCTCCTGTATGAAGACAGGCTGAGGAAGTTGGGGCTGTTCGGCCTGGAGAAGAGAAGGCTGCATGGAGACCTCATAGCAGCCTTCCAGTATCTGAAGGGGGCCTGTAGGGATGCTGGAGAGGGACTCTTCATTAGGGACTGTAGTGATAGGACAAGGGGTAACGGGTTAAAACTTAAACAGGGCAAGTTTAGATTGGATATAAGGAGGAAGTTCTTTCCTGTTAGGGTGATGAGGCACTGGAATGGGTTGCCCAGGGAAGTGGTAAATGCTCCATCCCTTGCAGTGTTAAAGGCCAGGTTGGACAGAGCCTTGGGAAATGTGGTCTAGTGTAAGGCATCCCTGCCCATGGAGGCTGGAACTAGATGATCTTAAGGTCCTTTCCAACCCTAACCATTCTGTGATTCGATGATGGATAAGCTTTGTCAGCAAGCTCTGCCTGTAGGATTGGCATCTGCCAAGGGTTATGAGGGCTTTAGTCCCTCTAAGCTGTGAGATGGGGGGCTACCTGAGGGGAATGAGAGGGTGGGAAAGCTGTAGTCTTTGATGAGAGCATTGCCCACAAAGCAGGGAGGATGTGACTGTCCCTCCCAGCACTGTTGTATGTTTGCTGCAGCATGTAGCTTGTAGGTCTGTGGTACAGATGTGCTCATGGGGAGTGCTGTTAGGAGCAACACATAGGGCTAGGCTGCCTGCCCTGTGCCAGGCATGTATCCTTGATTGCACTGCGGAGCAGCATCATCCTGCTGCTGCTAGCTGGGAGCAAAGCAATTCAGGTGTGCTATGTGGGGGACAAGTACCCTCCCACAAGGCCAGTGGAGCCTGGCTATGCCTCATCCAGGGCTGCCCATCCCAGCGGTGCACTGGTGGGGTCACCCTGCTGTTCCAGGTGTGTGCTCACACAGTAGCATGCCAGGAGAGAGACATCCATCCAGTCATGGGCCTGAACTGGGTGTTTTGCAGCTCTCTTTGAATGAAGATGTCAGAATTCAGCCTGTGTTGCCTGCCATGAACTCAGATTTGGCTTCTGGCTGTGTTGTCCTTGCGGTGGGCTTGTCTTGGTATTTATGGCCCTCATCACCATTGTACCTCAGCTCCTTAATAATGGCTTTTGGCTTCTCAAGCTCCCTTCTCACATGACGTGTTTCATGAGATGAGATGCTGATGAAGCGGAGCTGGCTAAAATGCACTGCAGCTGATAGACTCCCATCCCACTCCATCCCTTAGGTAACATCAGCTTTTTCCTGTTTGGTTGCCTTTAATTTTGATAAACATTGGAGATTTCTCTTTCCAGTTGCATATATACATGGAACTGTCCAATAAACCTTGTTCTTGAGATGATTTCTGTGTTTTGTGGTAGTGATGTGTTGATCTTGGATATCTGACCCAAAATAAAGGCATAGGGGAGTTTTGCTCTATGTTTTGTCATTTAAAAACCTCCCAGCTTCATTAAGGAGGGGTGACTGTCAGAGTCTGTGGAACTGAACGTTTTGCATTGAAACTGAGCATTTTCCCAATGACAAAGTGGTTTCAGGACAGCCCAGTTTTGCAAATGGCAAAAGATGAAATCTCAGTATTATGCTTGTTGCTGAGTTCAACCACAGTAACATGAATTCATCCCTGCTTAGTCTGATGCTTTATTTATTCATGGTGTTTTAAAATTTCAGGATTTCTAGCAATTACAGAATCAGAAGATAATTGGGCACTTTTTTTGGTGTTTGATATTTTTAAGCATGGTCCTCCAAACCAGCTTTGTAAACTTAAAATCTGATTTAGTGAAAACACTGGATGTGGTGGTCTGATATCAAGCACAGGACTGAATTTCATGGTATGAAAAGACATTAGGTTTTACTTTGGTACTGGCTGACATCCTTACCCCTCTCTCAGCTGAGCAAAGACATCCTGGAGCTACCAGTGAAAGGAAGCTCTAGTGGTACGGGACAGCCTGCTAATGGGCATCTCTTGTGGGGGCTCAGTGTGGTGACCATGCCAGTGGATGGGTGGAGACTGAGCTCCATCTGGACCCTGCCAGGGATCAGCTCTGTGGCACAAGTGTCTGCTCTGGGAGCTGGGCTGCAGCCTCTTCCCCGCACAGAAAGAAAGGAAAATAACCTGCAGCCATGTTTTGATACGTGGGGAGTGCTGGGGCTGATCGGGGAGGCCTCTGCATCCAGAGGGGTGCTGGAATGCCTCCCCCTCTGCAAAAGAAACATGGGACGTGGTGGACGTGATAGGACTTAGGGTGCTCCATAACTAGACAGTTGATTAGTGCCTGTCAAACAGTGGTCATTAAGGTCACCGGCCAAGAGCTTCTGGCCCTCCAGAAGAACCTGGGTTGATGTTTAGAGCCCAGCATGATGCCTTGTGCCTTTGATGCTGGAGGGAGTCCTGCCTGGTCTGTCTGAGTGTGTGGGGTATGGAGAGCAGAGGTTCACATCGCAGTAATGCCCCTACAGACTTCAAAGCCAGCATGAACCCTGGCAGCTTCCTGGGCAGTTGCTGAGGCTGGACAAGCTTGTGCTTCAAAGATACAAATGGCTGCTGAGGAGAGGAAAGGACTTGCTGATCTCCCTGGCTGCTGGGGTTTGGCTGAGATGAAATCATCCTGAATTGTAGCAAGGGGAAAGTAGCAGAATTTTCTGTCAGTGAAGACAGAGCACTTCGGGACACAGGGCAGGCGTGACCTTTCCCAGCCCTGTTTCATGAGTCTGGGGGCAGTTTTATCATTAGAAAAACATTTAAAAGAATTAGGATATTAGTAAAACACCTTCTACCAGAGTTACATGCAGCATCAGCACCCTTGCCTCAACAGGAGCCATAAGTGGACTTTCTGCAGTTCACCTTTTCAGACCAATTTGCCACGATTATGCAGCAACTTGATAT